GGTCCTTATGAAAGAGGAAAAGAGGTCCATTTGTTCATGTACGGTGTGGGCGCCCTCGAGCGGCCGCGGACAGAGTCTTTGGCGAGCGCAAGAGGAACGTGTGGGAGGTATTCTCGGTATTCTGTGAGGAGCATAATAAGATTGATCCGTTTGCTGGAGCATCGACTTGCCAGGAGTTCCGGGTGACTTGTACTCCTTAAGTGAGTGGATACTGGGCATCCCTATCCTCCACCAAGTACCCCTCTCCTCCACTGCTGGTGGGTTTGCTTCCTCGCATTTTTCAGGGTATTGAGGTCTTTGACCTGCCCATCACTACTGGCAGGCCTACTCTAGTTCTTTTGTTCCTGGTGGGAGAGCGCGTCTTGTTTCCCCCGATCTTCACCCCACGGCCCCAGGGTTCAAAGGGGCCCGTTCTTCCCAAGGATCGCTTTTGAGAAAGGCGAGGAGAGCTGGGGAGGAGGGCTGGGAGTCGGTCTAACAAAGGAAGTCCTGTTGTAGCCTTTGCATTTGAGCAAGGGCCCCAAAGTCAACATAAACACAGCACAGGAACGGACGAGCAAAGGAACGCACCACTCCACAGGCTTTGTGGTGATTTGTTGGTGGGTGTTTGTGTTTTGCTTTGCAAACGATGGTGGCACCTTTGGATTCGAGATGCTTGTTTGTTCGCACGCTTTGACAAGGGCCCAGATGGAAACCGAGGATCCAAAAGAGGTGCCGTCTCGTTCAGACGCCCTGCCATGGTTGGCCTCGAACAAGATGCAAGCGGATGAGGGATTGGCCACACAAGTGGGGATGAAAAAGATTGAAAAAGAATCATCAATCCATCATGTAATGTTCATGCAATGATGTATAGACTCTTGACTAATACTCATAAACCCGCCCCATGCACGAACTGCACGGACCCGCTGTCACGTTTTGTGACGGGTACAGGCGGGTTTGGCATGTACACGGTGGGACACAGGCACAGGACAAGAGCCACAGTGCAAAATGATTCATAAGCCATTGGTGATTTTCATCAGTGGTCGGAGTTGACGAAAGAGTAGCCTTTGGCTGAAGTCCACCAGTCGAGGTTCTGCTTCTGTACGTCAAGTCTGCACTGGAGCACTAAGGAAGAATGACTAGAAGCCATTCGAGAAGACTAATCACAACAAAGCCCTCCATTCCTATTTCCAGATCGCACGGCAAGTACTCCCTGTACTCCGTCTGTCAAGTTCCATGCGGAAGGTTGCAGCAGGTGTATGAACTGTGAAGAGGTGAAACATGGCGCTGCAAGATCCCGTCGACTGTCGACTGCCCATGTGGTCGACCAGTCCTCCACAAAATGGATGGTGTTCTCCGAGTGGAACATTGGACCATGTGTGCGCTCCCAGGCCATGGCGGTGCTCGAATCCGCGTCTGTAACACCACGACCACGACAGCCACGTGGCTACACCATTTGGATTGAACAACTTCTTCACAAATGGGGGGTTTATTTATCCAGACTCCACTGAAAATCACGATTTGGCAGCCAGGACCCAGTGAACTGCACAACTGCAGGTCACGAGATAAGTCGATCAACCCACCAGCCCGGTCCCCGGTTTCAGGCAAGGACGAGGAGCGACCGGTGCGCACTAGCGAGCGCGCGCGCGAAGGTGGCGGACGAGACGGAGGTTTTTCGTTGGCGCAGTGAGAAAAGACGAAGCGAGTGAAGAAGACGGTTTGTGCCAAGTGGCGTAGATAAAGAACCATATACTGTACTTGTTTGGGTTCCACGGTGCTACAATATAGACATGTTCAGAGAGGTCAGGCGAGCTTCAACGATTAGTGTTTTCTATTTGTAGTTTTCCATGTTTTGTGCAGGTGCCCCCAACCGCCAAAGCAGTGCTTTCATCGACGTTCGGTCCGAACGACGGTTCATGCACCGGGCTGTGGATGGGACTCGCCAAAGGCTCCTGTGAGCCCCTTCAGACCCGGTCTTTCGGCAGCGCCTTGGTGGTGGACACCCTCATTCCACATTCCGCGCATACCTGCACCCCAGCGTACTCCGAGGGTATAGAACACACATACATCCCTGGGAGTCAAAGACAAAAAGAAGGGTTTTTCGGTGACCCGAAAAGGAGTTCCTTTACTTCAGTCAGTAAAAGTTGGTGATTGACATTTGGACTTCTAGAGCATACATTATGTATACGATATATCCACAAAGTCAGCCACGGCCACGAGGACTCGAACCAGCGCCTGCCCTCAGAGGCGCGGCGATGTTCTGCTCCTGCTTTTGAGCTTCAGTGCCTTCCAGAAAAGGGGAACGCATCGCGATCCATCGCGCTTCCCTGTTCGTCATTCATCGATAGGTGCGACATCCCAATAGCAGGCAACCCTCAGTCCGATAGGTGATGTTTGGGGTTCCCTTTCAGTCAGTCGATCCATTGCCGCCGTCGAACTGGCCGCCCAAGACGTCGGTGCGTGTCGTTTGGGCGGCTGCCGATCCGACGTGTCCCTTGTGATTCGGACCACATGCCGAAGGAGGGAAGGAGGGATAGGGTACGTCCAGATCCAGTTGTGGTACTTCAAACGTATTCTTGTTGGAATGGAAGCAACATCTCATGTAAAAAAACACCGTACCAGTTTCTAAGGGAGGTGGTTCTTGACTCCGCATGCCGCGTCTCAGCCCCAAGCTGACCAGAACTTCCAGACACTTTGCAGCCAGCCATTCGTCGCCTGAAAATTTTTCAAGCCAGCCATTCCACATGAGAAGACAAACTTAAAAACCAGTGTGTGTGTGAGTGTGTTCTTAAGTAAAAACGTATGTATCTATGAGTTATCTATGTTGTGATTTGCATGATTCTACTCGGCTGGCCCGTATGATCAGACCGATTCTTACTCCCGGCCCAGGCGGTGCTGTTGCTCCAAGGCGCGGGTGATCCGTGGTGTTGATCAATAGATCTGGCCTACCTGCCATGTCCCTCGAACCCCAACACCCTAGGCTTAGCTTGCAGTTTTATGAATCAAGAGTGAACAGTCAAACAATGCCATACAGCGAGGCTTTGTGTGGTTTCGTCCTTTCTTTCTTTTAAACACTTGTGATGTCAGCTCCAATTGAATTGGTCTAGAGTCTAGACCAGGACGTGGACTCGAACCTCCATTTGTCCTGACATCGCAGAGCAGTGGTCCTCTAGTATCGGCATGTCTCGGCCAATGAGACTCGGCGAGCAGAATTTCCGCCCCCCTTTAGGCGTGTTGGCGTATGTTGTTTCTTCAGTTGACGTGGATGGCACGCCCAACTTTAAAGTCTAAACTACACTTCGAAGTGGTGTTTATATTTGTACGTATGCATCTCGCTGGCTCCAATGAAGCAATCTTTGTGTTCACGAAGTGCGCAGAACGTAGATACACAGACCCTGTTCAAGCGCACAGATGTTTGGGCACCGAAGAACGAATGCGCCGCCTGGCCGAGCGAAGTGCGCATCGCTTGGCCTCGGCAGGTTCATCTGAGCTTGCAAACGAGGAGCGTGGGATGGCAGCCATCACGAAGAGGGCCATAGGGAAGCGGTTCCCCGAAACCCGGTGATCTTCGTTATCTTGACCTTTCCGTCATTTCCGTCATGTTCTGTATCTTGCGCAGCCCAGCGCCGAACGCATGCGTAAGAGAAGACTGTAAGACGCAGCCAGTCGCTCGTCCGAGGTGCACTGCGGAGGGTCTGGGCGCTACCAAACGGCTCCTTTGGAGTGATAACATAGGTGTTCAGATCACCCCCCCAATGCTGCCATGCTGTATCTGAGCAGGGCGAAGCGAAACCACCCGCCAGAAGCATGACGTGAGCTTGTGAATGGTTGGGGAATGTTGGGGATGGACGCGTGGAAACTCATCTCCAAGACCGTGTGACAGGTATATCACGGCTGATGACCCATAAGCCACATGAGCGATTGCTTGAGTTGGTTTGCCCCGTCATTTTGACCGCATACGTTTTCCGGGAACGCGGCCCCAGAATGGTCACGAAACTTCAAATTCTTCCTCATCCTTTTTATTTAATATTTGTTTCCCCCTACTAGCGATGGCCTCCCCCACTAGCGATAACCTCCAACCTAAGAGCCCTCATCAGGCCGCTTTATTGATGATCCTCAGATCGTCAGACACTCCGCCCGATGTTTTGAGGGTCAACCGCGAACATCTTGGAGTCTTTCGGATTCCGCGAACATCTCACTGTTCACACGAACCAACTGTCACCCGACTGTCGGAGAGTCCAGGAGGATATGCTCCTGCTGAAAGAGGCCAGCTGGAACACGGGTGATTGAATGAGAATGATGAAACAATGAGACATGTAATCCACTATCAGAGTGGGAACACATGAGTAGATGGTCCATATATGGTCCATTTTGTTACCATCGCGGTTGATGGCGTCGTTCCACAAGAGCCAGCTTACAGACTACATCATACTGAATCATACTATATATATATACCAAAAATTGTTTCAACTCTGTCACTGTCTGTCGCGCAATCCAGCGTCTTGGGACCAAAATATGGATGAATTGTGTTTGTCGGACGTGTTGTTTTCTTTTTTGCGCCTTCAATTCTTACCTTTGCCATCTTGTATGCCTTCGGAGCTTCCGACTCTCTAAATATGTTACATACCTGGATCTTCCAACTATGACAAATTTAATGATGCCTTTTCATCCATAAAAACCAGCCAACAGGCAGACATTTGGCATAGTTGGAAGATTCGCCACAAGGATTGAGGGCGACTTCAATGAGGGCAGTCTTGAACATTCGCCACCCACAGCTAACGCCTAACGCGGAAACCGCTGGCCGGGTGTGGGGCGCACCATGGGTCGTTTCTGAATGCAGACAAGGCGTTTGAGGCCAACCCACTTGACGCCAAGTGGATGACAGCAAGACAATGGGCTACTTGTGCTTGCTGGCGCCCCGGTACAGGGGCAGGTCCGGAACTTTGTCCTGTGATGAGTGCAAGGGGAGGCCAATTGTTACTGTATAAAATGTGTAAATGAGTTGATCAGATGGGATGGATGTCTCCGTAGAGTAGTAGAGTAGTAGTACCGGTCTGGATCAGGCCGAGTCCGCCCAGAGGTGTTGGTGATGCCGGCGGCCCTTGATTTTGCGGCGTCTCGATCGAGACAACTCTCGTGGTTGGCTCCTTGTTCAGGCGGCGTCCGCGATCGTGCAGCTCTTGATTGAGGAGGAGCGGCAACAAAAAGGGTTTTCCAGGAATCCTCGTCTGTTGGGAACTCATTTGGAACATGTGGTTGGGAACTGACCTGCCTGTTAGAGATCGTTAGAGGTGAACATGCCCTCCGGTTCATGGTCACATGTCAAAGATCAGCTCCAGCGCCATCAGCTTCAGCTTTTGAGATCTTTGAGACAAACCAACTTGTGAAAAGAAACTTCGTTGTTGGACCGAGCCAAGATGCCCCCAAGCTTGGAGGATGGACCCTTCCGCTGGCTTGGGGTGGAAGGAGTAGAGGAAGTTGCACCCCTGAACCGAACTCATGGCGCAACTGAACTCAGGGCGGACTTGCCAAGGGAGCAGTCAGATGAAGGTCGCATCAGACATGCGTGAGGCATGACGCATGATTGTTTGAACGTATGATGCTTTTTTTCAGGAATCCAAGACATCCCAATGAGTTCTTTACTCAAGGGGTGCTGCAGAAGCATGCAGAAGCTCCTTTGGTGGTCACACTCGTTCTCAAACTCCCATCTGGTCGCTTTCGCCGAAAAGCAGCTCTTCCGTGTCGAGCCGTGCTCAGTGGGGCTCAGTCAGGAGAGGATTGAAGCTTCAAGCACTGATTTGCCGACCTGGTCTTGTATGAGGCACTGGCCGTCCGAGGGGCGTGCTTCAGGGTGTGGGGGTCGGTCCAGGTGCGGTTCCATGCGCCGCGCTCACCGGGGGGGGGGGGGGCTGGGGGGGGGGGGGGTCGGTCCGGGTGCGGTTCCATGCGCCGCGCTCACGGGGGGGGGGGGAACCAGGGGAACGTGGCCATTTTCTGCCCATGAGCAGCTTGATCTAAGAATGTAAGAGGGACTAAGACTGCACTCAAGAGGTGTCCTGGAAATCAAAGAATCCTACCTGTCCAACTTGCCCCAAAAAGCCCTCAGTCGAAGACACATTCTGATATGATCCATGGATGTCAGTCTCTGAGCGAGGTCATTTGCTTGATTCCAGGCAGATGTCTGCATTGGACCGGCGATCCCGGTTCGCTCGGGTCCGAACCATGTAGTTTGGGGTAATGTTTTGAGACACTGAGAAGAAGGGGTCCAGAACTTTTGGGTGCTTTATTGCTTTGTATCGTCTATCAGTATGAATTATAGATTGAGCAGCATTCAGACATGTGAATCCCTGGATTTTGTGGATAGAAGAGGTGTTGGACACGGTGAAACCATCGACTTGCGGAGGGCTAAATCTGGACAGACAAACAAGGACTGAACACTGAGGCGGGGGCAAACATGAGCAATTTGTTTTGGACATGATGACATTTTGTACGGAGCACTATGGTGATCCACAGCACCTTGGACAGTTTTTTGAGGCATGTCGGGGTGAAAAGTGAAAACCGGGAATAAAGAGGAATGTACATGTACCCCAAGCATCATAGGACCCTCCTATGAAGGGTTTTGACCCTGCTCTTCGCAAGGGTTTGGACCCTGCTCCAACCCTCATGATTCTGAGGATACCATGATTCTTTTGGGTACCACCAATTCCATCGTTCGTTCCCACAAACCTCCGTTGGGGGCATCAGATTCTCGACCGCCGCTCAGGTGGGCGACGCTGACCATGCGCTTGCTCGCTGACAGGTTCCGCGTCGGCGGGTTCCGAGCCGCGAGTCACCAGTGCTCCAAGCAGTGACGCCCTAGAAGTCGGGGCCCACCATTTTTCTTTAATATATAGCCTGTTCTTTCTGGTCCCAACTATTGTTTTACTTGAGGATTTTACACAAAGCCAGATGAACCATTTTAGACATGGTCTTGGACTTCTAGGGTGACTGTGTATGACTGTATGTGTTTTTGCGGCAAAAGCCCACATTCTGTGGAAGAGGTTTCCCGTTAAGGAAGCGGTTCCACCGAGGGGTGGCGGCGCACGATCCGGATGCGAGCGTGTGTTCGTTCGAGACGGACGGTTCTTCGTGATCTCAGCCTTTCTTTCGGAAGAGCCGTTATGTTCAGTTCGAGCATTGTTGTTGAACCTCTTGGCACCCAGATTCGGCGTATACGATGCAAACGAGTGGCGCAACGCCCGCGTGGGCGCTGCGTCGCGTGGTGGTCGTGGTCCACTGCCGTTTCACCCGTCTTCCCCCCCCGATGGTCCGAGCTGCTGCCGTGCCTCGGTTTTGGCCGATCCACACGAACTGCTCGATCGAGCGCGTCGGGTTGCTTCGGCTTGCTTCGGGTGGGTGGCCGAGCGCCGAGCGCGCGGGGGCCAGGCACCAACGTGCGTTGCGCGAGGGCAAGTGTTTGCTGTCGATCAGCAGCAAAGTGCCACTCGGACAGGGCGAACCGCCCGTCGGTTCCCATGCTTTGCGCTGTGATGGGCTTTTGGGGGGTGGGTATGGGCTGTTGCGTGAGTGGCAAAGCTATGTTGCATATCCCCAGCCTTCTAGTATTTCCAGACCGAAAATGTTTGATCTGTTTTTGTAGGGAAAAATCCTTAGCAACACAATGGCTGTTTGGTAAAGCTAATTATTAAACGAATGGTGGTTGGAATCCTAGGGTATACATGAAGCATCATGAAGCATTTTGCTTCTATGGTGGGCGACCCTCTTCGGTTCCTGTGAGAGAACGGATACCATGCCAATCTCCCAGTCCGTGCACAAAAACCGCAGACGCAGCGGACTGGGTAGTGGCGATGTGGCGATGCACAGCCCCTGGTTGCAGCAAGGAACAGAAAGAAACCGGTACCACCGACCCACAAGGAAGTCCACGGAATCGGGAAGATGAGGATGTATGAGTCCACGGAATCTCCTGAGCCAAAAAGAGTGGTGCATCCAACTGTCTACCCTCATGATGTGTCAAGAGTCGCCAGATCACCTTCGTTCCCATGAAGCGAGAGCAACCGACGGTCGGCTCCGCCTCATGTTATGTTCCTGCTTCTTCTCTGTTCCTACACCCTGAGTGACCTCTATTTACCGACCTCCCCAAATGTCCCCACAAATGGTCCTTTCCCCACCAAACGATGAAAAACAACAGGAGTCATGTCTGAGCTCTTAGGTGAAGTGACTTGTGTCTTTTTCTGTCGCATTTTCTTGAGTCTGTCATGATGTCTTCACTTGGGCGTTGATGTTTTGTTTCTTCCTGCATTTTCCTGCATTTTCACGAAGGTCTTTAACCCTGGCGGAGGCCGGATGCCGGATTGGCGGGGTCACTGATCCTTCGGATTGAATATGATCAATCAAGACCTAAGATCTGATCTATGGTCTGATCCAGATTGTTCTCAATCAACAAAGGTCCGAAATGTCCCAAGGATTTCGGAGGACGTCCTTAGGTCAAATCCCCCAAGGGCGGTCTATTGCGTTGGATTCACGGAGGCTTCAGGTAGCTTCAGCTTCACGAACTTGTGCTCGTGGTAGTTCTCGGTACGCGCCTCCTCTGCAGGAGCAGCTGGCCGAATATCTCTTTATCAAAAGTCCTCAATGGGCTGGAGACCTCGGATTTTGCGACCCACCCTTGGCGGGGAAGCGGCAGGGAAGCGGGGAAGAGTTCTTTTGGCCGAGCAGGAAAGCCAGACAAGGACTCCACCCCATACACAAGAAGATCCCCCCTTAACATTTCCCCTAGTAGATGGTTCAACCCAAGTCCTGTAGAAAAGGTTCATTTTCTAGTAACATATGGCCTAGTAAATCGGTAGAGCCCCACTGTTTTCCCTCATACGGCATTTTGAATGGATGATATCATCATGTGTTTTTCTAACCTTACCAATTCCTAGAGGACATTCTATAGCTGTCTTATAGTATGCTTGAACATCATGGGAGATGAGAATAGGTAAGAGAGCACCCCACAATAAGCCTAATAAGCTATTGGGTTAGAGGCCATCGCTAGTAGGTTGGTGGCCATCGCTAAGGTTGGAGGCCGTCGCTTGCCTTGAACCGCGGTGCTTTTCCACGTCACCGCTGGCTGAGGCGGCCGAGTTTCCCGAACTGAAGCAAACCTGTTGTCAGCTTTTGGTGGCCCGCCTGCCGGGAAGCCTGGAAAGGTGCCACATCATCCCTCTCGGCATCCATGAGAATTCCGTGGAAGAGATGGTGCATCGATAGAGCGAAGTACGAAGAATGTATATAGACAGGATCAAAGAGCTTTGAAGCTAAAGCCCAACAGAAAATTGTTCATGGATTTCGGTGCTTTCTTTGAGCAGGGAAAACATCGACCAGAGCTGGCTTTCTTCCAAACAGCATTTCTTCCAACTGCAGCTCAGCACCGTTTTGGGTGTTACCGGGCCCACTGGCCTTTGGTTGCCTTCTTTCGCACGCAACGAAAACGTGCACCCAGCCGAGGCAAGCAGTGCCGCTGAGCATGGGCAGGCAGAGCCGGGGAGTCGGGCGAAGGGTCGGAGTCAAAGGAGGAGGACGATGTTCGACACGATGAGATGAGGTCTTTTTGGTGATGTTCTTTTTGTGTCGAGATGAGATGAGATGAGATGAGATGAGAGTCGGGTATCTTTTCCGTTACATCTTTATCTTTTTGTGGTGTGATGAAAGCAGGTTCTTTCTTTCGTGCGTTCGACCTCCCCATCCCACTCGTTCTTCGATGTGTGAGGTTGCAGAAGCGCAGCCCAGGCAGGGAATCGTGTTCTGTTCTTTTTTGTTTTCGGGTTGTCGACTTGAAGGACTCCCCCATCGACCACTCTAGATGAAATGAGCGGCTTCAGCTGAAGCAAGAAGCTGGCCCTGCAAGGTGGCCACAGGGAAAGGCCCCGGTCGAATGACCACAGGCTTCTGGTCGCTTGGTTGCTGACTTTGACATCTTCGCTTCACGTGCACTTTCCCAATCCGAAGCCCTCGCGGGTCGAACCGCCCAATCCGTCCGCGGCGGCGGGAAGCCCCGTGTGGAGGCGAGCCTCTGTGGCACGGGCTGAGCGCCAGCAGGTGCGGGGGGTGGAGGGGAGGATCTTTCAAAGAAGAGGTGCCCTGAAAATTTTTGGTTCCCAAAATTCAGGTGAGCAGTGTTGCTTTTCGAAAGACCCATAAGAGTAGCTGTAAGGCCCCTCATAGGGATGGAATATGGCCCTAATTGGTAGAATCCTTTCGAGCGATTCTTGTGTGGTGGTCTAGCCAGATGCGTGAGAAAACCTGATCTGACAACCAGCACATGAAGAAAGCAGAAAAAGAACTCACGGCTATGCATCAAAACCTGGGCACCCTGGCTGACCCGATGTACAGATTATGACAAATTCCTCTGTTATTGGGGTGTCAACCTACCATGGTTTGGTGTGGCAGGTGCCATGACTTAGGTAAATGCAGTGAGCGAACGTCCATGTCGCCCCACTCTACCACGGATCCTGGCTGGGTCCACACGACGGTGACCGGTGCGGTTGACTCGGGCTCGGTCCGCTAAAGCTGGGTGTTTCGGTACAGTTCTGAACAGTTTTGGAGGACGAGTCTTTGTCCGGTCTTAAAAGTTTCGCAGGACTCGTTCCGGTCTTAACGAATTTCAAGACGTGAAGTGCAAGTTCAACGATCCGGAAAACATGTCCCAAGTTCAAACGAACAGGCCCAGTACTCCGTATTACGGCGCCCTGGAGAAGTTGGAGCACTTCTTTGGCATCTCCGCCATTCATGATTCTGTTCAACTAGTAGTTTATCCAAAGACTATGAACGTGTATGATCCAAAATCAAACCTCTCTGTGCAAGGATACAACCGCAACCACCCAATCCACCGCGTAGCATCAAGAGCGTTTGCAAATGACGTCAACAGAACCCCACCCCACCCCACCGCACCCCATCCACCGCGTAGCATCAAGATCCTTTGCAAGTACGAGTGACGTCAACACCACGAAAGCCAAACACATGCATAAAACGCATGGCCTCTTAGGGGTGCTGCCACCAAAAACTTGGCTTCTTGTCAGACTTCCGGTCCCGGTCGCCACAGACTCCGGTTCCGGTCACCCCCGGGGGTAAACCGCTTTTCAGACGGTGACGACTAGAACCCCAATTGGATGATTGACTCAGAGTGAAACCGCTTTTTGAGTACCGTTCTCCTTCCGAGTTTCCGAGGATTCTCCTCGCAGCGTCCTCGCCCAGGCGGAGCCGAGTGGTGACCAGTGACATGTACTCTTCACGCAAAAACCCCGAGGCCGAGCTGTTTTTTTGTGCGACGCGTTTGTTCTGATGGGGTTGCTTTGTGCTGGTTTTGAATGGCCTAAAAAGTGAGTGTGTGAAGAAAAACTGGCTGCTCTCTGAAATGAAGAACGTTACTTTTTAGAGAAAGTCCCAACTCTGTGGGGTCCGCTTGCCATGAAGATTCATTCTGTGGATCCGCTTCTCGCCGCCTCTCTTTTTGCTGGTATGTGGTTTCATTCCAACCACAACCATCTTCGACCTCCAGTCTATTGAAGGAAACATCCTGCCACCCACGTCGTGCGAAATTTCAATCCCTGTGACCAAAGCCGCATGTCACATGCCCGTTCTTCTTTTTTTGGGGGGAGGGTTTAAAAGACATTCAAAAGATGTTAAAAACTCCTTGTTCCTTGGCATTTCTTCCCAACTCGCCACCCAACCCCACCCTAGCTGGTATACCTGGTATACCATCCACTTCACTCACTCCTTGGATCCTGGTGGCCCTGGGTGGCGGCTCAGGCGAGCCTCGATTTGCGAGGGCGGCCCTTTCGGACCATGGGCGAGCTCCCGGCCCTCGACGCGTGGGACGCCCGTGGCGTGGCGGCGCTCTTCACGCACTCGGCGGACGCGTTGCCGCCACCGCCGGGCTTCAGCTCCGAGAGCGAAGAGGACTCGGCGCTTTGGAGTGGTTTGGGCACGGCAGGGTGCTGGTTTTGGGGGGTGTTTGTTGTTACATGTATTTTGTTGTCTTGTGCTTCAATCATTCTAGCCAGCTGTTCTGACTGCGTCTCTTGTGCATGTGTACATGTATTTGTGCCGCCGCTGCCGTTACTGCTCAAGAGACCCAAAACGGCTTCAGGTCAAACTTTTTCCTGGAGTTGCCAGGGTCCTTTTTGGCCAATGTCAGTGCAGAGTTGGAGGGACGAGCGTGGTCTGCAGGCCGATGCAGACTTCGCTTTCTACTTCCTGGACTTTGCCGAGGCTGTTGGGGAGGGTGGATTGGAGGTGGCCCGCTCCTGGCTTGCGTGTTGAGCCAGTGTCGGTGAGGGGTCAAGCGGTGACGTCCGAGTTGTCACTGGTACCCACGCTGGGAGAGAGACACCTTCGCTGAAGGCGTTGGGCTTGCCGGCGGTGCGCCCGTCGAGTGCTCCTGTCTTCCATCCTCCCCGCGAGTTGCGCGGCTCCCGCAAAAGCGGCCGGTGCCTGCTAGCACTCCCTTGCCCACCAGGAACGCGAGTTCAAGGACCATCTTCTTTCAGGCAAGTGTCTACAAGGACGACCGACTGTGGAGCCGTTGGTGAACAAGATTTTGGCCTCCCATGAACCTGACGCACTCAAGCGGGTTCAGTCTACATGGCATGACCTCGTGACGTGGTGCAATGCGGAGGCCTTGGATGTCTCCTGCCTCTCCCCCATGGATTTTGCCAGGATGGTGGATGCTTAGCAGCCGTAGCAGCGCCTTCATGGGTGCTACAGGCACTTCAACTCATCGAATCTTCACCTGCCTGGAGACCTTTGGCCACGGTGCCAAGCAAGCTGTCGCACGAATGGGCCGCTGCCCATCGTGCTTAGCTGCCGCCTTTGGTCCCTTTAGAGTTGACCGTTGACCCGGGCCAGCGCTTCGGATACAGTACGCCCTTGGACTGGCCCCGTCCCGGACTTTGATCTTCAGTTCGCTGCTAGTGCTATGGCCCATGGCTGCTGGCCCTTCTCACGTTGCGGTTGATCGTGCCCTGGCTTTGGGCTTGTTTGAGGAGGTATCCTCCAGGCTTGAGCCAGTGTCAGTTCCTTCGGCTCCAGCAGCGCCCACATGTCACTAGGGTCAAACCCCCAGTCCATCTTTCTCGTGGCCTGACTTCGTTTGCTGACGGCCCTTTCTCAGGTTTTCCACCCCTGCGGTCTTTGGGCTCCTAAGTCTGCAGAGTTTCACACCTCCATCCTTCTCCCAACGTTCAAGTCGCACTTGAAGCAGGGTGCACGGATGAGTCGCTCGGCTTTTTGTTCCCCCAAGTTTGGTCGGGACTGGCGTGACCTTTCGCGTCGTTGCATTCTTCTAGTACGTTGGGATTTAGTGCCTTGGGAGTTGAGAGTTTCTTTTTACTGCCGGTGCAGGAGTTGACCCTCTAGTGAACCTAGGTGTACTTGCCAACGTAAATCGGAAGAGTGCTTCTGATGCAGATGAAAGAGCTAAGGTACCACAGCTCCCTGCTTTGTGCTGCGAAGAAAAGAAGGGAGCCGACTGATCGATAGCTGTGTTGAATGTTATATTGTCTTGTGCTTGTAGGGCAGGCAGGAGAGGTGCAATTGTAGCCAGCTGTTCATTGCTGCTCAAGAGACCCAAAACGGCTTCAGGTCAAACTTTTTCCCCCACCCACCCTTCCCTTGAAACAGTTTGTGCTCCGCCTGGGTAACAGTATAGGCGCTTGGTGCCCGCCGGTGGCTGTTGCCACCCTTGGATAGAATCAGTTGGTTACTTTTTTCCACCCTCCGGAGTTGAGAGTTTCTCTTCACTGCCGGTGCAGGAGTTCACCCCCTAGTGAACCAGGTGTACTTACCAACGTAAATCGGAAGAGTTCTTCTGCTGCAGATGAAAGAGCTAAGGTACCACAGCTCCCTGCTTTCTGCTTCCAAAAAAAGGAGCCGACTGATCGACAACTGTGTTGAATGTATATATATATATAGTTAATTATTTATGTGACTTATAGTTTTCTTTTTTTCAAAGTGGGCAGTGTTTTTGCGGGGTGGACGTCTTTGGTTGCTGTCACTGGGACAGTGGCCCTTGATATCTTGCGTTTCAGAAGGGGGAGTGCAAAAGGCCTAAGGGCCTAAGGTTTTTTTTGTTGCTTTTGAAGAACAGAATCTTTGTTCGGACGGGAAGGACCTGTCAGGACCAAATTGGACCATGACTTTGGACCTTCGAATGGTGAAACTGCTCAACCGGTTTCTGGGTGGTTTGGAACCTTTTATTGTCAATGGTTTCTGGACATAGACGATCGCCGTCCTCGTTTCGGCAGAGACGAGCACCGTCCTCGCCTGGGGGTGTCCCTCCACCAGTGGCCCATCCATTTGTCTCGCGACCGATTTAGGACGAGACCGACGAGGAGGACTGAGGTGAACCTGTGAGGTGAATCGAACTTTTCATTTTTTAAATAATAGCTTCGCAGGTTGGGCCATGTGTGAACCAACAATTCGCGCAAAAACTGTAGCCCCTCTGTGACTTCGCAAAAAAAACTTAGTCGGATCTGAAGTCGAGTACCCAATCTGGGCGTTTCGTCTTGGTGCCCTGCCCAAAAGGGGCGGTGGCGGCGCCAGCTTTATGAGTGCAACGCTCTGCACAGCAGCTGCGGTCAGCAGGACTTGTAATACCTGCTGTGTGCGCCCACTTTGGGGAGCAAACTCAAAGAAGATCAGCAGCGTAGCACGAAGTAGCATGGGGTAGCTTTGACCGCCCCCTTCACACGCTTTCAGGACATTTGGCAGTGCAGGTGCAGGCTGTCAAATTGGAGCCCCTCCAGGTGTTTTTCACATTTGTTCATGGGCCAGTTCTTTTCGGTAAGCTTGTCGTTTGCCTTGAAGTGTTCGGGAAGAGAACCAAAGTGAACACCATGAAACCTGACAGATCTGGCTCAAGGCATCACCTGAAATAGGAGAATGCGCCACCTTCCATTCTTTCAGAAAGCACCCGTTGATCGTTGCATTGATCGTTCAAGAAAGCATTGGAAAGAAGGTGATACGCAAACAAAGGGTCGCCCGTAAGGGGTTTCACGTGGACAACAAGCTCCTTAAAGGACATGACCGAAGTCACCTCCCAACATATTTGTCGGCCATGGGGATCCATTAGGAATTGTGGGGTGCCAATGAAATGGAATAAGGTAAATGCTACTACTAGTTTTTTGTTCCTAGTAGCGATGCCAGGAGCCCCTAGTAGCGTCCTTGCTCCTAGTAGCGATGCCCTTTGCTCCCAGTAGCTTCTTGTTCCTAAAGAACATAGAGCATTTGCGAACCAGACCGCCATCAATCAAGCCCTTCATACGTAGCACTTCTACGCACGAAGCAACCCGGAACTTATCTTGGTAGCCTTGCAGCCAAGCACGATAGTACACAGCGGGACCGCTGTACTTGACAGCACCAGATTAGTAGTGACAGTATTGGTGTGAAATGACCACCCCCCCAAACAAGGTGATAAGTTGTCACTTTTTTGTCGGATCTCTTGAATTTTTAAAGGAAGGCCAGTCGAACGGAACGGGATTTTCCTAAAAAGACTGACCACCGTGCCCCCCGGCCCCGGCCCCCACGGCCGTGCCTCTTTTGAGGTGCGGTCAAGCGGTTTCGCCATGGAAGGGCTGGGGCGGGAGATGTCCAGCCGGCAACTGTTTGACATCCAGAGGGAGGCTGAAGCGATGCAGATGGTGTGGCTTCAGGCCGCTCCACGGGGCAGCGCAGCGAATTCACACGGCGCATCACGGGTGGCCCGGTGGTTGGCCATGTCGACAGCAGTCAGCGCCCAGAGGGTTGGAGGTCCCAAGAAGCATGTTTGGTGATACCGCACCGCCAGCAGTTATTTGAGGGGATGAGCAAGGAACACGAAGCTACTAGGGGCTCCTGGCATCGCTACTAGGAGCAAGGACGCTACTAGGGGCTCCTGTCCTTACT